GTCTTCTGCTGGAGGGGCGGCAGCTGCTTCTGCCTCGGCTGGAGGAGCTTCAGCAGGTGCGGCCTCAGCAGGTGGAGCCTCCACGGGTGGAGCGGGCTCAGGTGCTTTCTCCGCAGCCTTCTTGACTGGTGACTTCTTGATAGGTGCAGGTTTGGCCGGCATCTTGCAGGCAGACGCGAACTCCTTGGGATGAGGCGGTGGAAGAGTCTTAGGTAACATATATACTGAGGGCTGGTGGGCTGCTCCACCCATTCCCATGACTTCTACACCCGCCTACCCACTTAAGCCACATCTTCTTCTATGGGAAGAGTAAAGGTAAAGAAATATAAGGAGAAAAAAGTTGTGTAGCTTTAACTCAGGTAACACACCTGTCGATAATTAAACTGATAATTAAGAAACCATCAAATACATCAGAGAGTGGTCGTTCAACTTAATTGAGTAGTGGCCCATTAGCACCCCCTAGCGGATTATAAAGAAACAACACATAGAAAACAGGTAGTGATGTGATGAATGGCATGACTTTATTGTAACAACTGCTCAATGTTAGACATATGGGATTTAATGTGGTTATAGAGACATGCCATACAACCTTTACCGAGCCCACTTTTAAGCCAAGTGCTCCTTCCTGCTGGAGGAAGACAATAAAACCACAGAGGACGCTCATTTTCTGCATACGCGGGCCCAACTTTCTCTTAGATCTCTTTAAGTGATTGTTGTCGCAGACGCAGTGACTATTTACAGTGTTTACAATAGTGATGTAATGTACAAAAGAGGAAAAACAAAACATCTTTACAAATATTTGCATAAGAAAAAACACAAAAACCCCCACACGTCTGCTCTTAAAAACAATGTGAAAAAGAGGAAGATATCCAGTTATTTAAAAATCCCTCCCGTGATAAGGTTTAAGTGCGGTAGGTCCAATGAAAGGAAACTTTGGAAACACATCAGGGATACATGCATCAACATTACATCTCTAGGCTTGCATCTGTTCTCACGCAAACTTCCCGTTTCTCAGGCAACTCCCCAATGACGACGAGACGAGGTGTCAAATCGTGCAAAGCAGCCTAGTCATGATACACATTCGCATTAACTGCAGTTTACTGACACACACATCATCTTAACTTACAGCTTATCACATAACTGCCTGTCAAAGGCTCCAAATATATCGATAACCCACTCGAAACCCAAATTTGGGCATTAAAGTGATGACATGGAAGTGACATCAGAGTAGGTCAGCGGAACTAGTTATGTTCCCTCTAGATCGAGGCCTCTGTGTGGTAGATCAAAGCAGCTTTTTAGGCCAAATTGTGTTTCAGGCACAGACTTAGGCAACGTGCCTCTACTTTACAGCAGTAGAGGAACATATGGGCAGAGTATGGCAGTCTGAGGTACTTCAGGGTCAAGCTAAGGGTTTTCAGAGTATCCCAACAACCTACAGTTTCCTCCTCTTACACCGCTCTTTATACTTTCTCACTTTATCTCAGTTAACAGTCAAGATGTGAGCAATAAATACTGTCATCTACTACCTCTAGTATATTTAATGTGCAAACCAATGAAGAAACAAAACGGGAGGAAGTCACATTTAAATATTAATCAGTCTTTTCTGACGGTAACTCAAACAGTGTGAGAAAAGCAAACTGACGATTAGCAGAAAGTCACGTTTTAATCAAAAAATGGAAGTAAAGGAAAGAGGAAGGAAAATGTTACGGCTATTTTTTGCTAAAGTTTTCTGCTTCAGGGATGATGACACGGGTG